TCAATAATTTCAGAAACTTCTTGAAGTTTGTGAAAAAACATGCTCGAACTCGCATTGTCTAGCAAGCTTGAACATGTTTTTTCACGAACTTCTTATAGTATTTTACCGCAACGCGTTAGAACACGTTCATGAACTTGTTAATTAGAAATACAAAGCGTGCTCGTGTCCCTTGGACAGAGAATGATTGATACGTATTTCAGCCTAAAATTCTTTCTATGAATTTTGTGAGGACCTTGGCACGAGTCAAAATAAAAATTAACACGTTTGGAGCCGGTTTGACATGTTTTCTCAAATCATTTCCGGTGAGATACGAGAGCATTCGAAATGACTCACAAGAGCAAAACGGTTGATGAAACATTTTGATAGCTTTCAGCAATAATATAAGAAAATCCTGCTCACATTGTTTCTGCCATGCAAATTTATCCGGGAAAGAATATAAATGATAGCTTGAAGTATCCGGCTACCAAAGTTTTTTGGTTTAGATGATGGAAGAATAGCTCAATTTTCTGTTTTGGAAAAAGCTGATATTTATAGAACATGGCAAGTCATTTCCCGATGTTGAAGCTCATTCATGAAACAATTACTAAAATTGGGGTTATCATTAAAAAAACAGATTAAATGCAATGGTAACTCGGTTAAACAAAACGGTAAAACCTGTTAAACATTTGGATGACATGTCAGTTTTTTTGACACGTGGCAGGAGGTAGACTTTTTACTCTGTGGGCTTTTTACCAAATCTGTTACAAAGAAAGAAGCAATACCATTTTTTTTTTGAAAAACTGGGTTCGGACAACAGAAAAGTACCAAGTAATTTATAAGGCATTACCAGTCTTTGTTCACTGTACCTGAGGAAAATGCTAAATCGGCTCAGCTCAGATTCGCTTTGACAGCGTTTTTATTCACAATCTACATGAATTATATAGATGAGACTATCATCATTAGCTCTGCGTCTTTCTCGTGAAAAAAAGACCTGGTAATCAGCGTATGAAACAAAGGAGACTGACAGTTGACCCACTTCGCGAGGGACAGATGGGCAGTGATTAGCAACAAATTCGAATTCGAAACTTAAGGATTAACACCAAAATTGGAAGATCAATTCAGTATGTGATTAGATCACCACGATAGTTAAGCATATGTTCTTTTTGCCAGTGTTTATACTTATGCATTTTTACCTGTTCGAGGGCTCTATTCAGCTGAGGATTCACAGCGTGCCTCGCAGCCGTTCCACCTGCTTCTAAGGCTGGCATATTTCGCATTGGTGGTATTGCCTAGAAGTGAGTAGATTTTTTGAATTTTTACACATTATATTGTAAGTTGTCCAAGACCTGAGTCAGAGTGGATAGAATTGGAAGCCCTGCAGCCGCTTTTTCGAGAGCTGCACTATCCATAGCAGTTTGAGAAGGTCGCAAACCTGGGATCAGCGAAGAAATCAAGGATCTGAAAGGGAGCATAAGTTTCCAGTAAGTTTAGTATAAAATTAGTTCACCTCTGGCTTTGATCGCCTATTCCAAGAGTTCTCATTCCTTCATTCAACGTGTCGTTGGCCTTCTTCATCATTAGATCTTTGAGTCTGAAAACTCAAGATTTTGCAGAAGTTTGTTAGAATGCTAAGTTTCGCATCAAACAATTCAAATGTTTGTCCAAAAAGTAAACAAATTTTAGTTTGAATAATAAGTGAATGATATTCAAGTTTGCATAATAATAATAAATCAATTGATTTTCCTATGCACATCAATATTTACTGTAAGTTAAAGGAGGTGTATCTCATTTTAAATTCAGAGTTTGAATTTAAATATAAAAAGTCAAGCAAGAAAACGTTCTCAGTCCGGATTTATTCAGTTTACTATTGAATAAAAGTTCAGAATCTAGATATTTGTGGAAACGCCCGACTACGACGATTCTCTTTGATGAAAGCTTATCATAAAACCCAAGACAAAACTAAAATAGAATTTAGTGCAATGTTTTAGTGATTTTAGCGAACGAGATCCAAGAAACTGTTTTTTGAATTATCTTTTCATCAGCTGTATCATTATAATATGGCAGTCATATTTTGCTTTGAACTTATGAAATGTACATGGTTTTTTTTCTGTTTGATGGGCATCAAGCAAAATATTTTATTGGAAGTGAAGAAGATTATGATTTTCCAGACTCTTGATACAAGATGTCGATGATTCTGATGTAATAAACATAATACAGTAATTTGCTTGTAAGATTCCAGCTTGTAAAACTTTCCTTGTTCTTATTAATCGAAGTTATTACGTAGATAAAAAAGAAATAAAATACTTGAGATTTACCTCACGCCAGCGTACTTTTCCGGCCCAGCACAAGTAATCTCAGGCTGGAATGGCAAAAACGTCCGCACTCGGTTGGTGACTAAATACCGCACAAACCAGTCAAACGAGTCGTCACATACCAAATCGTTCCCTAAAAAAATTTTCATAAGAAAATTGAGGACAAAATCTTCAAAAAACGCAAATTCGCAGAAAACTAGTCAAGAAAATCCGAACAAAATTACCATCCAAGAGGATATTGGCGATTTTCGTATCGAAAGTTCCTTCTTCGAAGGACGTAAGTCGATTGTTAGACAAATCCAGCCAAAATAGCTTGTCTTGGTGAAGGAAAGTTTTCTGAAAAAAACGAAATGGATGTTGTTGAGCGAGCGAAATTGCAGAACCAACCTTTCCAATCTTTTTCAAATTATTGTAAGCCAAATCCAAAGTAGTTAGATGGCGAAGTGAAGCAAAAGTGTGTTCGTCTATCGTTGTCAGCGAA